GATAGATAGATAGATAGATAGATAGATAGATAGATAGATAGATAGATAGATAGATAGATAGATAGATAGATAGATAGATAAACACAGCCAGGAAAAGGGACACTACTTCTGGCTTTTCCCCCACCTCCCCCTCCAAGGTGCATCTCACCCTTTCTAAGTGCCATCCAGAGCCAGGATTCCTTCTATCATGCCATGCCCGAATTTTATAAAATCTGCCGAGATCTGGGAGCTCAATCTATAAGGGGAAAAAAAGGGCCAAATGGCCCAATGCAGAAAATACATTTATCCTCATAACTGACTGGGGGCAGGTGGATGTTTCTTCAGAGTGAGGATAGGCTTGCACTGAGCCATCCTCACAACACTCTCGCCTCTCATGTTTCTGGTAACCAGCAGCTCATAGAGCCAAGAGAGCCAGTGGAACAAGGGTTCAGTCTGGGATGGTGAAAGTGAACAAAAATAACTGACCCACAGTGGGATCCAACCTAAAGAAGATCTTCCAAGCAATAAATTTCCAGGAACAAAATATATACAGCAGCCCTACAAATTAGCGCAGGCCCACGGCCTTAGGACTCTGCTGGGCACTGAAACAGACAAAAAGATCAATACAGCAGTCATGCCCTTTCCCTGGGGGCTCAAGTCTGGCAGGAAGACAAATACATAAAGAGCAATGAACTTGGTGTTAGAATAGAGGCACTGATGGGTTGCTCTAAGAAGACAGCAACAAATTGCAAATTATTCCTTCCTAAAGGTCAAAGCAGCACTTCTGGGAGTGGGGGGACTCCTGCTGCAGTTATATACATACTGGAAAGTTAGAAAGCTGGATTTCCTTTCAAATGCTATAAAAATAATATTTTCTGTTAAAATTGATCCTTATTCTCTAATGCAGCCAGACTGGGCAATCTAGCATTAACTGTGTTTAGGAGCTATGTTCTACAATGATTCCTAAGTCACCCTCTTCCTGGATGTCCCAAGTTATTTCATGCTGCTTCTTTCTCCAGGCTTGGGACTGGTCTGTTTCAGATGAAGGGCTACATCTAAAGTGTATCCCTTTCAACTGAGTGCTTATAATCCTAACTATTCAAAAGATCCTAGGATTAAGGTCCAAAACCAGCCCAGGAAGAAAAGTCTAGGAGATGCTACTGTAATTAGCCAGCAAAAAAGAAGTGGAACTGTGGCTCAACTGGTAGAGCACCAGCAATAAAAGCTATGTAAGAGTGCAAGGCCCTGAGGTCAAGCCCCAGTGCTGGTGTGCACGTGCGCGCATGCACACACACACACACACACACACAAATTGTATTCTTTTCAATACAATGCCTATAAAGCATCAAATTGTTCCTTCTTTTACATGGTCCTGAAGTCTCTGTTTTACCATTTCATCTTCCAATGTGGTCTAAAACCTGGCTGAGGAAACCAAGTTAGGATCCCCATGGCAAATACCTCCTACAGGCTCCTTTTCCCCTTCTCCCAACCCTACCACATTTCTTTCCTACCCTAAACTTCTCGACGGTGCCTGGTTTGAACCATTTGTTGTTGGGATTCAGGAGAATCTCATCTGTCCGCCCCTTCTGCCCGTAAATCTGGATGAAGATGGGTGAGTTGGTACCAGCTTTCTTCAGGTCAGTCGTCCAGACCCACAGGGACCAAGCAAATTCTATGAGACAAGGCCAAGTTGTGCTATAAACTTCATGTGAAGAAATTTTCAAGTTATCAGTGAGGAAGAGGAGAAAATAAGAAATGATCAAGACTGAAGAGTAAGTTATACACACATTACGTCCTACTCTCAGAAATCTATTAGAACAAGTGCTAAATTTATAACTCTAAGGATTCCTGGCTTTTAAAACTAAGGGGTCTTAATGCTCTTCTTAATGTCTAAAATGTATTAGCATGGTTTACAATGGGAAGGGCTGGCTCCACCCACACCATGTCTGGTATGTTGAGGGTGCACTGTAGTGGAACACTCAGTTTATTCCCTTGTCCATAACAGTAGCATCTTCAATATGGGGGTCATGGGAGTAAACCATGGTGCCAGGTATACAACTGAACATGGTCTGTGCTTTAGGGCACTGAACACCTTGGAGACCCTTTCTCTTTCTAGAGGAAAGTTGAGAAGTAGGAATGGAATCCCTCAAAGCTTTTACCCCCACAATCTGATATCTTGTCATTTGCTGACCTATCTGAGAGTTCCCCAGGTGAGGTCCCCTACACTCACTTTTTAGCCGTTTCTTCCTGAGAGACACCATCTCGTAGAGCTGCCTCTCAATCAGCCCATCTGCTTTCTTTTCATCCAGCCAGTTGCTGCAGGGGAAGGTCTGCTGGATACCAGTGAAGGGGCACAGGATTACCACCTGGGAGGGCAGACCACAAGCATCAGGAAGGAGGGGAGGGAGGGAGGGAGAGAAGGAAGGAGGGTAAGGAGGGAGGGAAGGAAGGAAGGAAGGAAGGAAGGAAGGAAGAAAGGAAGGAAGGAAGGAAGGAAGAAAGGAAGGAAGGAAGGGAGGGAGGGAGGGAGGAAGGGAGGAAGGGAGGGAGGGAGGGAGGGAGGCAAGCATGCTACCGAAGTAGGAAAGCCTAATATGCTTAATTAGTAAAATTTAATAAACAAAGTCAAAATCTTATGCCCAACTCTTGGTTCGTATATACAAATTAAACATGCATTATAAATAAATCTCAACAATTAAAAATGGTATCATACAGATTGTTTTCTGAATACAATTATATTAAATTATGCCTCACCAAAGCTGATTTTTAAAATGAAACACTCATTGTAGGATTAAAATGAATTAAGAACTAAAATGGTTGGAAAACAATCTAGAATATTTTTTTAATTGTCAAGGTGATGTACAGAGAGGTTACAGTTACATAAGTAAGGTAATAAGTACATTTGCTGTCGAACTTGTTACCTTCTCCTTCATTTTCCTCTGATTTTCCCTTCCCCCAAACCCCCTCCACAGGTTGTACAGATATCACTGTTGCACTGGTTTTGAAAGAATGATTCTGAAAGTTGAAAGTCACGTGTCCTGTGACCTAGACTTCTGTCTTGAGAGGTTCTTGCCTGTTTTGTATAAAGATAAACCTGCAAGCTTTTCATGGAATCAAAAGCCAAGAAGTAATCCCATAGTTCAAATGTTTTTCATGGCATCATAATAAAAAACCAAGAAACTATCCCCAAAATATCCATCAATGGAAGAATGGCCAGATAAATGAACTACTTCACAGCAGGGAAATGGATGAGCTATGGCTTCTGTTATCATTTGGATGAATCTCTCACATACAATGTTGAATGAAGACTACCAATTAAAGACAAGATAGAGTTGAAAGGGGAGACACTAATCAAGATGCATTCCATTCATAAACTGTTTTGTTGAATAGCAAAAAAAGATAAATGATAGAGGCAAAAGTTTTAATAGTGTCTTCCCTTGAGGGAAGAGAATTTTGTAAAAGAGAAGGGACACAGAAGAATTTTGGAAGCATGAAAGTGTTCTACATTTCAATCTCAATATAGAAAAGTAATTGAAGCTTTAAAAATCATTATCTAGAAAGTGGAAGTGTGACTCAACTGGTAAGGCACAAGACTTGTGCAAAACAAAACAAAAAGCCAAGCAAGAGCACAAGGCCTGAGTTCATGTACCAGTACTGGCACCAAAACAAAAGTAAAAATCCTGTACTTAAAGAACCCCCATAGACTCCAGTCCAATGTTACTCCAGCTGATCCAAAAATTTGGCAAAGTAGCAGGGTATAAAATTACCCCCCCCCCAAATTAATGGCTTTTCTGTATGCCAATAACAAGAAGAGCATGGCTGAAATCAGGAAAGCATCATCTTTTGCAATAGCCCCACAAAAAATAAAATACCCAGTCATTAATTTAACAAGAAATGAAGGACCTCTGTGATGAAAACTTTAAAAATCTAAAAAAGAAAATTAAAGCAGAACTAAGGAAGTGGAAAAACCTCCCATGCTCCTGGATTGGGAAGATTAACATCGTGAAATGGCAATGCTGCCAAAGGCTATCTACAAATTCAGTGTGATACCTATCAATATTCCAACCTCATTCTTCAATGTAATAGAAGAAGCAACCCAAAATTCATGTGGAACAATAAAAGACCCCAAATAGCAAAAACAATCCTTAACAGAAAGAATAGTGCTGGACGAATAGCAATACCAAATTTCAAACTCTACTACAAAGTCATAGTAATCAAAACAGCTTGTTATTGGCGCAAGAACAGACCTGAGGACCAATGGAATAGAACTGAAGACCCAGAAATGAACCCACAGACCTATAGTCACCTAATCTTCAATAAGGGAGCTAAAAAAATAGAATGGAAGAAAGACAGCCTCTTTAGTAAATGGTGCTGGCAAAAATTGGTTAAACACCTATAGAAAACTAAAGCTAGATCCTTATATATCACTCTGTACCAGAATCAACTCCAAATTGATCCAAGACCCCAAAGTCAAGCAGACACCATGAAAACATTACAGGAAGGAATAGGAGAAACTCTAGGGCTCCTTGGCACAGGATGAAATGTTCTTAATAAAGACCCAGAAACACAACAAATCAAAGAAAGGTTGGACAAATGGGATTGCATGAAACTGCAGAGCTTCTGCATGGCAAAAGACATAGCAAGCAAGATCAATAGAAAGCCCACGGATCTTCACTAGCCATACAATGGACAAGGTCTCATATCTAAAATATACTTAGAACTCAAAAAATTAAATCCCCCAACAACAAATCCTCAAAGATACAACTGCCCGATAAACAAGTGGGCTAAAGACTTAAAGGGAGACTTCTCTGCAGAGGAAATAAGAATGGCCAATAGACACATGAAGAAATGCTCAACTTCTCTAGCCATAAAAGAAATGCAAATCAAAACAACATTGAGATTCCACCTCACCCCAGTTAGAATGGCTATAATCAGGAAATCACTTTGGAAAGCAGAATAGAGTTCCTCAAAAGACTCCACATAGCGCTCCCCTATGACCCAGCAATCCCACTTTTGGGCATTTACCCAAATGATCACAAACAAGACCATACTAAAGCTACCAGCACAACTATGTTTATTGCAGCCTTATTTATCATAGCTAAGATATGGAACCAACCCAGATGCCCCTCAGTAGATGAATGGATCAAGACAACATGGAATTCTAAGCCTCCATCAGAAAAAATGGCACTGCCCCATTCATTAGGAAATGGAAAGACTTGGAAAAAAGTTATATTAAGTGAAGTAAGTCAGGCCCAAAGAAACATAGGCCCCATGATTTCTCTTATCTGCAATCACTAGTGTATGCCTAGAACAAGCAAAAAAGGTCAAAAGCTATGCACATATGACCATATAAGATGATGCTAAGTGAAATGAACCCCAAGATAGGGATACAAGAGGTTTTATCTTTTTTGCTGTTGTTTTTAATGTACTTATAATGTACTACGGGATCTTTTGTTTCTTTTGTATGTTCTTCTCCCATAGTATAACGCCTGTATTTGATTCCGGTGTCCTACATCTTGTATACACAATTTGGGGAGGGGAAGGGAAATAACAAAATGCTGAAATAAGGATATAGGATGACCCATTGTAACAATGAGATGTACAAGACACTATGTTGAAAACGAACTTTACAACTTTTTTGGGGGGGGAGGAATGGTAGGGGAAAAACAAAGGAGGGGTTAATAATGCTCCATAGGAAATGTACTCATTACCTTACTCATGTAACTGTAACCCTTCTGTGCAGCATCTTTACAATGAAAAATATATATTAAAATAAATAAATAAATGAATAAAAATCATTATCTATATGGTTCTATTACCTCTATTATTATATTTTATTGTTTTCTTTATATACATAACTATTCCTTAAATACAGTATTCCATAATATATATATATATATATAAGTACATGTATTTTAAATGTATATATTTTACATTTGCTTTTTGATAAAGTGTTTTGTAAACTGAGGTAAAACACTGCACCAGGAAGCCAATAATTATAGCCACTAAGTGAGCATCTTTGGTTTACCCACCCTGTGTTTAAAGAATGGCCCCCATTCCTGACCACCAACAAATCAGGATGGATGTGCATGTTTCCCCCAAAATGGCCAATGAAAGGAATTGCTTGTGGGCTCTATAATTAGTCTAAAGGAAGTAGAGCATAGGATTCAGGTTAAAGCTTGTACTGAAAGGTTAAAAGAAGAGAGGGGTAGAATCAGGGAACGCTCTCCTGTAGTCCCTTCTTACCTTCTCACAGTACCAGCCTCTGTTGACGCCCACATTACCATGGCCAATGGAGACCCGACTGAGGGGGCTGAGGAGGACAGCCCGTTCTATCTGGAAGATATCTGTACGACCTCGGTCAAACACGCCTCCCTCCAAGAAGATCTTCCCACTATTCTTATTCCCTCTGGCTCCGTACATAACCAAGTAGATTTTGGATTTGGTCCCAGCTCCCCGGATATCCCCCGTGAAGATGGTGACAATATAGGTGATCGCTGTTGTGGAAATAGGGGAGACAAGGGCTCAAAGTGAGCTGCATTGTGATAATTCCCCTTCCCCCATCCTGGCTCTGGAATCCCGAGACATGACTCTTCCACATAGTTCTGTTCCACCTCAAGTCTTCCTCCCTCAGACCATATCCAATGCCCCTCACCAATTCATATTTTCAAAGTTTATGTGTCAGTGTACCTGAGTTAGAGAAGAAAGTTCCTCTATTACCACAGGAAACTGACAGCCAGTACTGATTACAGGAAACTAACAAAGAGAAGGAGGAACTTGGGCTGGATAAGAATAGTACTTATTATGAATGTTAATTACCATGTGTACATCGTTAATAGCTGCCACATGAATTCTGTTATGTCTAATCTAATTATAATAGTCAACTCCATTAGTGGAGAGTTAGATCCTGAACTACTTTATCCATTTAGCTTGTTCTTTAGCTGATACCTGATAAATATAACTTTTTTATTGAAAAATCATATCCTTCTTCCTTTACCACTTGAGTGGAAAGACTGAAGGAAAGAGAGGATATTGTACCATGTTAGGTTTGGGTCAGTCAGGAAGCATCGTAATGACTTGGAATTCTAAGGAAGAGGAAGTAAAGAGGGGTGGTAGGCTTAACCCGTAAATGGAGAAAGCACCAAAGATAAACAAGTACTCAGATCAGAAATTCTCCTGGCCTGCATTCATTCATTCTGTCCTGGAATATAAGGCAATCAACATTTTAAACTTTATTAATTTCCTTCACCCATCCCTAACTCTACCTTACCCTATGCCCTCATCTGTGACTCCACAGAAATAAATATCCCAAGCTTATTTGGAAGGAAGACATGGGAGATAAATTGAAGCCAAATTGTAAAGCAATTTGCATGGATGCATTATTCATTCATGCATTCACACTTTCTTTAGTTCAGCAAACATCCACCAAATGCCAAGCTTTTGGGAGTCTATGAAGACAAAAAGGAAAGGCACTGTTCTAAGAAACTGACTCTCAAGCTTTCTTTTTCCAAAGCACTTGGAAGGGTGGCTTTCTCATGACAGACATACTTCCACAGCCTGGATGAGGAGAAAGTCCCACCTGCTGTCATTTCCCCTCTTCCTCCATCACTGAGAGACAGTAATCTTAACACAGTTGATTGGATCATAGCCAATCTGTTCTAATGAAGGTTTGAACACTTTTGTTGCAATGACTTATGACACCTCACAATAAGCAAGCCATGCCAGCATGCCCAAAGGTTAGGATGGAAGATGTGAAGCAGAAGAGCTTTAACTGTCTTGAACAATAGCAGCAGAGGCTATCCAAGATACAAGGAGCAAGGAAAGGAAAAATCGCCCAGTCTTGGTAAGTCAGGAAAGGCTCAGGGGAAGCAACTGGAAGCGGGGATTTGAGAAGCAGGAAGGAGAGAAATTGCATCATGAGATGAGGTGTTAAGCAGATTCTCAGGACAAAAGGAGAGAAAAGTGTGAGGAAATCTGGGAGAGTAGGGAAAAGAGGGAAGTGTGTTCATGTGGTGGGGGGGAGAATGACAGGTGTTGAGGATCATTCAGAGCAAAGTGCATGCAGTGGGGGAGCAGGAAGGGCTGTGGAAGCAGAGGTGTTGGAAGAGATTTCTGACAGGATAGGATGAACTGGAGCCAAATGGTGGAATGAATTGCACACTATACTACAGAACCTGAATTTTATTTCTAGGCAGGGGTGAGCTGTAAAAGTTTCAGTGACAGAGCATGTTCTCAGATACGTATAATGACATATGTGAGTTTTTCTGGAACATTCAGACAGGCTGGGAGTTGGAGGTTTTCTGTGGAATTTGTGGGCAGGCAGATCACATATGGAATTTGTTGTTTGTCAGTTGTATGACAAAAGATGGATTTCTTCTACGTGCCTCGATTTCTTCATCTGACAAATAGGGGAAATACAGTGCTTGCATTGTAAGTGGTCACAAGGACTGCTAGAAATGAAGCAGGTCAGAAGTTTACATTCTGGCTTCTTCCTGTGAAGGGCTTCTTTAGCCTAAACAGTTGATGCCACTCAGGGCCACTGCTCTGGATGCTTTGGTATCAACAGGGCCTTAAGTCCAGAGGGCCAGACCATATCATGAACAGCAGGATTACTGGCTAGAGGCCTGCCAGGCTCCTGCTCCAATAACTGCCTACCCAGGTCACACATGTTAGCACTAACCCTCGGGCTGAAAGTGAGTATTAGGCCGGGAAGTCTCCCCTTTCACAGTCCTACCTGTGGTTTCAGCTCCACCCACTAAAATATCCCTTTGGATTTTGCCATCATCTTCATCCAAAGCCAGCCAACGGTTAAGGGGAAAGTCATATTTCCTTTTGTTCCCAATATCTTCAATGACAATCTAAGAAGAAGAACAACACAGCATGCTTAAGGGTCATCCGGGGTACAGCTGGTGATCTATCCAACCCCTCCAGTTACTGGAGTGTCCTCCAATAATGCACTTTCTCTCTCCTTCTGGCCCAAGGAAAGCTGTTCACAGGACACAGCTGTTTCCAAGCAAAGCTCGAAGAGCCATCCAAGGATGACTCTCAACTACCCCTTGGCTTGAATTCCCAAGCCCTGGCTCCCAACACTGTTGCAGGGCATTTCTGGAAGTTGAAGCAAGAAATGTGGCCCTGGGGCTGGGAAGGTGGCTCAGTGGTAGAGTGCTTGCCTAGCATGCATGAAGCCCTGGGTTCGAATCCTCAGTACCACATACACAGAAAAAGCCAGAAGTGGTGCTGTTGCTCAAGGTAGATTGCGAGCCTTGAGCAAAAGAAGCTCAGGGACAAAGCCCAGGCCCTGAGTTCAAGCCCCACAACTGGCAAAAGAGAGAAAGAAATGTGGCCCTGCATATGCAAAAATGGAACTAGGTGATTGGAGTAGATGGGTAGGGTTGGGAGAGATGGGGAGGAAGCATGGAAGGAGTAACATGGATCAAGATGCATTGTACTTTTAAAGTAACATGTTCAATTAAAACCTCTTTGTACAACTACTTAAAGGCAATAAACAAACAAACAAAAAGTGTATCCCTGGAAGATGGGGATGCAAGAACTGGAAGCCCGAGAAGTCCAGGCAAGAGGAATTCCCAGTCCTGAATGAGACCCCAGTCAGGAAAGGTCAACCAATGGCAGGATGGTAATAGAAATCGTCAGCTGTAAAACCATAGGGATTCCTATGGGAACTACATTGGTGAGACTGAGATTACGTATGTCTTCTAGAATATGCTCAGGAGCTAAGAGGTTCCTGAAAATGGCCCAGGGAAGGGCAACTATAAACCAAGGCTGGAAGGATAGAAACACCCTTTGTGCTGAATAATAGGAGGGTATATGTTGTTTCTTATTGGTGTGCGAGAGACAGAAACTGAGTGAGACTGAGTGACAGAGACAGAGGGGGGGGGAGGAAGAGAGGGAGGAGCAATGACCTAATATAAAACAAGAGCCATTTGTCCCTGGGGGAATTCTTCACCTGTTGACAAGCCCACCAGCAAGGCTGTCCTTCCAAGAGGTAAGAGGCAAACTGGGGGTGATGGTGAGCTGAGCCCCTACAGATGAGGCACGCCACAGAAAGAGGCTTGTCCATAGCAGAGCCAGCTCTATATTCTATGGTGGCAGGCACACATCAGTACCAAAAGGCAAGGCTAACCAATAAGAAGATCAGAAAGGACAAGATATTCCCAAAGAAGTGGGAGGGAAAGAAAAGATGACCCCAAACAGAGGTCATTTCTTCCTTCTTCCTCCCAGATAGGTCATACTCTAGGTCTTGAAGCCTCACTTCCACCAGCACAAGCTCAGAACAAAAGGGAACATGTGGAGCCTGCCTAGGAGTCAATACTTTCAGGTTGATTCAAAGTGCCAGGTGTGATTGAGCAGCTTTCCTTCCTTAATATTGGAGTTACTTTTACTAACTTTATATAACCCATTTAAGCAGGGACCTGTTTTGCACAGAAAAAGTTAAGCCCTCCCTCACACACTGGGTAATTGGCGAGCACGATACAGGGAAAGGTTCTAGTAGAACCAGAGTTATGGTAGAGTCTTGAAGGATGATTAGGCCCTGACTGGGTCAAATGAGGGAGCTGGGATTTCTAGGAGTAACAAAGTCAGTCTGGATGGCAAGCTGATTAATAGATGTCTTAGGCAGCCCAGTAGAAGCAGACAGAACTTGAGAGGGAAATTGGGCTGAGATATGACCCTGTGAAAAGCAGAAGCCCCCTTCCCAGGCCCCAGAGACCATAAGCAATCTGCTGAACCCACCTTGGACAGGAACCAACCTGCAGAACTCCCCTTGTTGTTGTGGCCCACATTGATCTTCATCAGCTGCCCCAAATCCGGGGCATCCAGTAAGAACTTATCTTCAGCTCCCCTTTCAAAGTTGTCCTTTCCGCTTTCCAACCTACGCTCCCCTGTATGTATAGATGCAAGAAAGTCACAAAAAGACCAGAAGAGAAGAGAGAGCCAACTCCAAGCCTTAACGGTCCACCCACTGAAAGACCTCTTGCAAAGTCAAGGGCGGCTCTCCACTGAGATCTAAAGACTCCTTATATCCTCCAGTCTCTGGCAAGGCCTGGTTTACCTTTGTGTGGCTGGTGCCAAAGTCTTATAACTGGGCTTATAACTGGAGTCTTTGTCCCCATAAAATGATCTCTATGCCCATCCCTTTATCTGAGGCTTGCCTGCTTTTGCACACTGTTTGTCCTGAACTGTGATGATTGGTATAGGAGCTCTAGCTAGAACCTGATCAGTTAACAGACTTCTTTGGCAGTGCTGACTCCATGTCCCTTCTCTTTTTGGTCAGGTTGGTTAAAGATTCCTCTACCTTATTTATCTTTTCAAAGAACCAACTTCTTGCTTCATTGCTTCTTTGACTAGTTTTTAGTCTCTATCTCATCAAGTTTTGCCCTAAATCTTATTTCTGTCTGCTAATTTGGAGTCTGGCTAATTCTTGTTTTTCTAAGAGCTTCAGATGCCCCATCAGGTTATTTAGTTGAGATCACTCTGGCGCTGTTTTGTAATGTAGAGGCTTATAACTATAAACTTTTCCATTAGCACTGCCTTTATTGTGTCCCTGAGGTTCTGGTAGGTTCTGGTCCCATTTTCATTAGATTTTAGGAACGTTTGCCTTTCTCCACTCATTTCTTCAACATCATTTAACAATGTGTGGTTCCATTTCTACGTGTTCGCATATTTTTGTCATCTCTTTTGCTGTAGAGCTCTAGTTTTGTTTCATTATGGCCTGATAGAACATAGGAAATTATTTTGATTTTCTCACATTTGCTAACATTTGCTTTTTATTTTTGGAGAAATTTCCATAGGTTGCTGAGAAGAATGTATATTGTGCAGCTGTTGCATGAAATATTCTGTAAATGTCTGTCAAGTCCATTTTGGTCTACAGTATCATTTAATTCTGAGATTTCTTTGCTGATGCTTTGTCTAGATGACCTGTCTGTTGGTGTGAACGAGGTCTTGAAGTCTCCCATGCTACTGCCGCATTTATCTGTGCTTTTTAAGTCCAGCTGTGTTTGTTTACGCAATTGAATACACCAATATTTGGCAAATAAATGTTAGAGATGAATATTTCCTCTTGACAGTCCCCTTTATTAGTCTAAAATGACCTTCTGTGTCTTTTTCACAGATTTTTATTTGAAATTAACTTTATCAGATATGAGTATAGCTATTCCTGCCTGCTTAGGAGGTCCTTTTGCACTATATTATTAACATGCACATTTCAAAGTTTTTATTAGTGTGTGTAGAATAGTATTTCATGGTAGTTTTAGTTTGTATTTCCTTACTTATTTGAGGAGAATGAGCATATGTTCTATTTATACATATACATATATATGTATCATTCGTTCATAATTTTTGTTTGTATCCTTTATTTTTCTATTATCTTTCTTTTGTCTATTTTTAATCATGAAGGCATTTTTTGGTCTTGATTAATATGTTTTGCTTTTTGTGCTACTGGTGAATTGCTTTAAAAGCCTCATCCCTAATTTAAAAATCTTAAAAGACACTTTCTTAAAATTTCTTCTAAAATTTTTTATAGAATTGATTCTTTACATTTAAGTTTTAGCCCATCTGGAAGCTATTTTTGTGCATAGTGAAAGGTAAGGTTATAATTTTATCCTTTCTCAAATGGTTAGACAATTGTTCAAATACCAGTAATTAGACACCTCATCTTCAAACTGATTTATAATGCCAACCCCTGTGTATTTCTACACTATTTATTCTGTTCCATTAGTCTGTTTTATTTATTTTAACAATGTCACATTCATTTAGTTTGTAGAGATCTACAATATCTTAATATCTGGAAGGATAAATGTTCCTACATTATTAATATTACTCATGTTCTTTTCATTATTCAAATCCATATTGACAATATTTAACCCTTTATGGTTCTACATGCATTTTAATAGGAGTCTAAGCTTCAGGGTATTGCCTTTTGGAAAACAGATGAAAATTGCATTGCATTTATAGAAAAACCTAGGAAATTTTCAGTTACCTAGTTGCTCTTTAGTTTGTGTGTGTGTGTGTGTGTGTGTGTGTGTGTGTGTGTGTGTGTGTATTCATCCAGACTCTCATTATCGAAACCAGGCTGGCCTTGAACCCTTGGTCTTATTACTTCAACCTCCTGAGTGTTAAGATTACAGATATGACCCACAAATCCAGCTATAACCTGAATTTTTATAACCTGAATTTTAATATCTAAGTAAGTGAGTTTTTTTCTGATCCTTGAACACAATTGTCTCTTTACATATTCTTCTATATCCTTCAATAAAAGTTTATATTTTTCCAGAGAATTATTCTTAAGTACCATGTAATTGCTAATTTAAGTGATATATTTAAATTTAAATGTTTGAATTGACAGTTGTTTTGCTATTAATTTTTGGTCTATTAATCTTGTATCTAGGGCCTTTGTTAAATGTTCTATCATCATTCCTGGATTTGATAGATGACGAAAATGAAAGTGAAAGTTTGTTAGCTGACTATAATAATACACTCACAGATTATGAGTTTGAGACCAGCTTGGACTATATAGTGAGTTCAATGTCAGAGACCCACAACAGAGGGAGGGAAGGATGGGAGGGAGGGAAAGAGGGAGGGAGACTGTTCCTTCATTTTTGAACAATCATAGCTCTTATTTCATTTTGCTATCCTTTTTCCTGTCCTTAGGACTTTCTGTACTGTGATGAATGGAAATTAAGATTAGCTATAATATTTCTGAGGTTATTCTATTCTTTTCTCTTTAATCTATTACTATAATAAATTTAATGGTTATGTTGACTAATGTTAAATTATTCTTGAATTCCTTGAGTAAATCTTGTATAGTAGAAATTACTTGTCATTTATCTATATCTATCTATATAAATATTATAAATTCAGCATGCTAATATTTATTTAGAATTTTTGGGTCATTTTTCATAAATAAAACAAATCTTGCATTTCTTTCCCTTTATGTGTGCCTACCTGATTTTGGAAGATAAATTCATAAAAATGAAGCAGTGTACATAACCTCTTTAACTCTTTGAAACACTTCATATAAGGAGATCCAAATTAATAATTTGGTAAGAACAATATTTTGTAAATATTTAGTAGATTTTTGCCTAAACAATACTACGGGTCTAAGGGTCTCTGTGTGCGTGCGTGTGTGTGTGTGTGTGTGTGTGTGTGTGTGCCTACTATTGGGGCTTACCGAACTCAAGACCTCCTACTTGTTAGGCAGGTGATTTACTTCTTGACCATCAATCCCCTTACTATTTTTTAGCTACAGTCTTATTTTCTACCTTTACCAGCCTGGATATTTTTTACCCTCCTATTTGTGCATTCTTGTGTTGCTGGGATGCTAGGCATGACCACTCTGCCTAACGATTTGGTCAAAATGGAACCTGGCAAATATTTTTTTGTCTAAGCTGACCTGGAATGGAGATCCCCTGATCTCTGTCTCCCCAGTAGCTAGGAGTACAGGCTTGAGATACTGAGCCCAGAGGGTCTAATGTCTTTTCATCACTGCTCCAGTTGCTTTGATGACTATAGATTTTCTGGAAACTGGCTAGAATCAGTTCTTGAGACAATCAATCCTTGCAAGGTATCGATATACAAGACTAGATGATACCACATAATGAAAATCACAAGGCTTAAACTGGGGATTCTTTTTATGCTATCAGAGAGTTTTGTACTCTTTCAAGCATAAATACTACCATAGCAAAGATGATTGGAAGTCAAGATTCTCCATAGCATATTGGACCCTGGCCCCAGGAAAGAGGGTAATGCAGCTCCAATAATGCAGCTTAAAGATCCTATAGCCCCAGAGTCAAAGTGCTTTCCCAAACTGCAATCTCACTCTGAAATTCCCTTCTGGTAGAACACAGAATGTCATAAGTAACAGAAGCTTATAAACTTGTTGTTGCCACAGTTTCTGTCACTTCTTCCAGTAAATTTTGTTTCATAGGCCACTGCTGCTTTTGCTGCGGGGATAAGGACATTCTATCAGAATATTCATAATAGTATTTCTCCCTTGATTATTCAGAAGTGCGCTTTTAAATTTCTAAGTGGGTTGAAAGGACAAAGTTTCTTCTAATTTTTATAACTTTATAATCAGAGACTGTTGTCTCTATGTTAGTGATTTACTTGAATTTATTAAGATTTGCTTTGTGGTTTTGTACATGGCCATGATGTGCCTGAAAAGAATATGTGTTGTGTATCAGTGAGAAGCAGTAATAGATAATACTGCTCTTAGCTAATGCTTATCAACTGGGTAGTGGGTTGATGAATCTTCATTCCTTTTATCCATTCTATTATAGATTATGAATCTCTACTTCTGGTGTTTAACTTAAAACTTTATTATTCATACTTGACTTCTTAAAATTAATAGTTAAGTGTAGACTTCTTAAAGTCTACAGTTATTCTTCTAGAAGTAAGAAGATGGGCCTCAGCTAAAACCTTCATCAAATTTTAACTCTCACCACCTATATTCCTTATCAAATATTGATTTTACTCTTGCCTTTGTATTAGTCATATAGTGTTTTGTGTAATCAGTGCTTGCTTAGATTTGTCACATATTCATTCCTTTTTTTCTTTTTGCTTAGCTTTGCTTTTCATATGCCCAACTTCCCTTTTCTGAATGTAGTGGTTGTTTAAGCATAGACCTAGGAGTGGTAAACTCTAGTTCTCTTTGTTGGCTTGGAAAGTAGTTAGTTTTGCCTCACTCTGGAATGATAACCTATCTTGTATAAAATTATAGGTTGACATATATTCTAAGTGTTTATCTTTAGTAACCAGAGCTTCATTTCCTCTATTTCTTCTTGACTTTTTGAAAATGTGCTATTTTCACATTACTTTATTTTCTTCAAATTTTCAGGTCTTTAATAGGTTGAAACAATTTAAATTATAGGCTTTCCCAGATTACTGCCTTTTTTGAGATTCTTATGGATAAAATCTTGTTTGCTGTGTTGATAAATGCTTAGCCATGAAGGATTTTTTTCCCTTGAGTGTCTTGCGGTTTTGAAAAATAAACTCATCTCTAGAACTTCATACTTGGGGATCTCATGCAATCTTACAAGGGCTTCTATGAAGTACTAAAAATGAAAGGTATTTGTTACCACCATGAAGTCAAATATTCTGTACGTGGAGAAAGAAGGGGTCCCAAATCACACTTGCAGAACAATATCAGACCTCAAGTTCCTTTGAAATATATGCCTAAGCTACTGATATCATATTTTTTAATGTGAAGCTCTTGTGGGGATGGATTTATAGTGCTGATGATTTTTTTTTCCTGTTCTACTTTTTTCACTGAAGATGTCCCTGTGAACCTTCAGGACTCTTGTCTTTATCTGCAGTTCTAAATTCAAATCTCTTGCCTCATGCAGGGTCAAGGTCTCATTTTCTAACCTAAATGAGCATAAAAATCAATCCTCTAGGCTATTGAGCATGAAAGCTTCCTTCTTCTAAGAGCCATAACATCAATTCATAGTTACCACTTTGGTTTTGAGTTCCCTCTTCATTGCTGGTACCTGGAGAGTTCTTTTTTATGTCTTATAAATTCTGTGATTCATTTTTAAATGCTTTAATATGCTGTATACAAAATTCCCAGGCCTCTATAGCTTTTATGATGCCTATATTATTCTACTTAATTATCAGAAGCAGGAGAAAGGCACCTGCCTCAGTTCTTCTGACCTAAACTTCTTCCTAGTTCTGTCTGTGATCTGGTCCTGCTTCATCTGGGAGGCCAAATGGAATTCTAGCCCCTAGTTTCATTCTAGTCTAACCCAATTCTCTGGCTCAGACCATACACTGCTCAGATGGACATAGAGCTCGTGGGGATAAAGAAATTAAGTGCAAATGAGTTCCCTGGAGATAGAGTTTGATTTTGTTCATAGTCTAATTTAAACCAACTATAAATGCAAATATACTTTATTCTGAAAACCTATTATGTGCACATATTTTACAACACAAGACAGACACCTTGTTGCCCAGGGCAAGCTATGAAGAAAACAAGCCATTACAAGAAAAGAGATGCTTAACAGAGGGGACTAAAGAGGCTCACACTGGCTTCTTCTACAATATTATTTCTTGTAGGGAAATATCCCATCTAAGATGCAGTAGAGGGTATGGCTTGGGAAGAAAACATCCAAATCTATACCTGTGTCTCCATACTCTCCAAAGATATTGATGACAACATCGGCGTCTGTCCCTGCACCAATCACATCACCAGTATATACCTTGATTTCGTACTTGTTACCTGGAGACAAGGACAGAAAACACCTTAGCTCAACAAGGGTTTAGAGAGAGCAGAATAGAGGCCCCCTAAGTCATACCACACCATTAATCCATCGCCCCATGAATTGCCATCACTGCTATCAATGACAGAGTCAGAAACAAGTCACTCAACATTGGCTCCAAAAGGACATTACTAAACAGAATGTAGGAATAAATCAAAGAGAAAGGGAACTTCTGTTTTCATCTAGTAACATATTCCTTGGGATAGATGAATATATTCTTTGGGTCAGCCTTAACTAAAAGGTTACCTTGAACCAGCCCACCAGCATATCTCCCTTGAACTATTGAAATGTCTCCAACTGGCTTCCCTCCATCTCCCTTGCTTTCTCCACCCCATTCCCACCCTGTGCCATAGTACAGAAATCCATTGAAGAGACTGGATTCCATAGATGAAAATAAAATATATACATGATTTGGCAAGTCTGTAATGAATGCAAAGACTAGAGGTATGGACAGTGGCCATCGAATGCATATTTAAAGGGCACCTCTTTTTAAATACCTGTATCTTTGTTCCATTCATTGAACAATGATTAATTGTTCTCGGTAATATTCAAGCACCTTGATCTCAGTTGTGGCCCCAAAGACCGTACAATGGTCACAGGATTTAGACAGAGCCAAGTCTGTTGTCATTGTCATTTACACATAAGGAAACCCAGTTCAGAGGAGACAGCAACTTTCCCAGCAGCACAATGCAAAAAGGAGCTCCAACCCAGGTTCCTTGTCTTGAAATCCAGGACCCTTCCCAAGCTACCTTAGGGTGTCCAGTGCTCTAGCTCAGGGACTAGCAATCTTTTTCTGTAAAGTGCCAGATCGAAAATATTTTTGGCTGTGTGGACTATTTGGACTGAGTTACAATGACTCAATCCTGTAGGTAGAGCACGAAAAAAGCTATGCACAATACTGTGTGACAAATGAGTGCAGCTGGGTCCCAGTGAAACTTTATTTATGGACCCTGACATCGGAATCTTAGAAATTTTATGTGTCACTGAGTATTTTTCTTCTTTTGATTTCACTTTTAAAGGGGAAAAAAACCCTGTAAGAACCAAATCAGCAGTCAGGAGGCTGAGGCAAATAGGTTCTAGAGTTCAAAGCCAGCCAGGGCTACATAGTGAGACCCTATCTCAAAACAAAACAATGGTCAGCTGCTGTCTGCAGAGGAATTAGAATACATTCCAACATTGGCTAAGCACCCAAAGGCTTAGAAGACAGGTTGGCATGGACAACTCCTGTGCCAGCTTTCTCTGCCCCATAAGGCTGTTGTGTAGCTAGGCAAAACCTGATGATCCCCTGAGTAGAATAAATAAGGAGGTCTGATGCTTCACAAAGGTAAAGACCAATGATGACAGCACCAACGCTGTCACCTAAGGCATGGTGCTTTTCGCTCACAGCCTGGCTAAGCATTGTCAGGGGACAGAAATGGAAATAGGTGAGGAAACAGGAAGAGCAGAACCAGCAGGTTCATTCCTCTTCCAAAGACTGAGCAAGGATGGGAGAGATAGGGCCTGGCATAGATTATGGGAACTGTCCCCCACGTCAGCTTTAAAGTTGACCTGTGATTTGTCCATTTGATGTATTATTGCCTTTTAGAAAATTCTCCCTGGAACTGATTTCTCTCTACAGGGCCACCATTAGCCGATACAGGACCTTTGTGCAAATGAGCTAGAAGCATCCCTTCCTTGAGACACTTTACTGCCATCTGTTGGACAATCATGACAAATACACAAATCTAAAACTTCCTGATGGGAAAAGCAGCGTCCGCCCTTTACACCTGAGCCCCAGCTTCTACGTAACAGGTGACTTCCACTAAGGGTCAGTGGGGGTCCAGAGGCCTGACTAATTTGGGCATTGTTGTAATAAATTCACAACAAGGCAGGCAGAGCCGAGATTACGCTAATACATAATCCCAAACCAGAGAACTGAGCTGGGGTCCTGTGCTGTGGAGTTAGCAGTATTGTAGAGACAGTGGTCCTGGCATAGTCTTGAGACCCCAGCCGAGAGTTGTTTGCATCCTCCCACCCTGCCCAGCGAACGCATCTGCCCGATCTTGCCCTAGGCCTGGTGGCAAAGGCACACACAATCAAGTCTGCTGCCTTCCAGCAGGAAGTCTGTCCCTGGAGGCCCACGGAAGCTTCTGCGTGGGCTCCCAGAAAAGGCAGGCGCTGGCAGGCCCTGGCTGCCAGCCACCCCGGCAGCCTCCCCTGCGCGCTGTCTGGAAGTCGTCACGCGGCATTAAAAGCACACCTCCCAAAGAGGGGCCTAGACAGCGGGAGAGACACGGGGATGAGGGGGCCGGGTCCCCCAAATCCCGGTGCCTGCCTGCACAGCTGAGCCTGCCTGAGCTGCTCGTCCTGTTCCCGAGGACCGCAGTGAAGCATCTGCCCATGGCGGAGCCTGCCTCCCTGGGAAGGGGCGGCCCCACACCCAGCGCCGTTGGAGCCTCCAAGATGCGCACTTGGTCCAGCTTTTTCAGGAAACAGAATCATGAATGAACCGAGCCATCGGCGTCTCTTTCCCTTGCCTTTCACCCCTCCCCAGATCCCAGTCGTTTTGGCAGGTGAAGGCTGGAGAGGAGGTTGGGAAGAGGCTGATGGGGTTCGATTTTTCCCACCACCCACAAGTGAATCCGCGTGGCTCACACCCAGACACCCCTCACTTCCGCTCACTCACGCTCCCCCGAGAGCCAAGGCGCTGCTGGAAGGGAGGTATCACAGGTGGTGTGGAGGCGGAGATGAAAATGGAGAAGAGTGACGATGGAGCTGCCCGGGGAGGGGTGGGGATGAGGAGGAATGTTCTCTCCCAGCCAGAGGAAGCTGGGCCTGCTCCAGCCTGCACAGGTGAGCAATTGGGGACAGCAGGCCACGCGGTGCTGGGTGATGGACACCTAACACGAATCCTTCCTACCCTACAAGGACTCCTTGTCATCTGCTCCTGCCCCAAGGCCCCTGATCGCAAAGCCTTCATCCTTGTAACTGCCCCTTCCGGATTGCCCCCAGCTCTGCCAACTCCAATAAGTGTAACCCATCCTTCCATTACCTTGCCCAGACTTTCCAATCTTCCCCCCACAGCCTCTGGGATACTCGCCCAACTCCTGAGCCCACCCACTGGATTCTGGGGGAAAAACTGCAAGCTGTCTCTCCACAACCGCCATCCTTCATGTCTCTTCTCTTGATTTTGCTTGCTTCTGGTAAGTAGGACTAGAACCATCTGCTCCCCCTAGTACATCCTGGACTCACTGCCCTGGAAGACCCATCCCAGTATTAAAAATCACAAGAACTTCTAATAGTTACTGAGGATCTCAAAGGGGAGGGATCAAGCCACATCTGGCCTCACCACCTCCCTGCAAAAATGTTAGGACTTAATGCTACTGCTGTCACCATTTGACTCATGGGAAAATGGAGTGAAGAGGTTAGGAGAAGTGGATGAGGAATGGAGCTGTAGCTAAAGGAGTAGAGAGTCAGCCTTGAAGGAAAATTAGTTAATTAAAAAATAAAAATATGTTTACAAAGAAAGAAACTTGGCCAATTTTCATAAAAAAAGTGAAAGCAGATTTGGACTCAAGAGGTATTAACATAAAGGGGTGTGTCCCTCATGTGAAAATTTGAGATAATGTGAAAATGTGAGATTTACTCAGCAATCCTTAGTTTATTTGTCTTTCAGGAATATTCACCTTTCAAGCCCAGAGTGCCCTTTTGGCACTTAACATGTGCCCAGAATTTGACCTCCACTGAACCTAGTTGACAGTGACATTAAAATATCACTTATTCATAGTTGTTCATGAGCAAAACATCAAGGAACAAAACTCTGCCGCTTTCATTACCGACACATAAATGTAGAGCCAGCACATTTTCTAGGAAACTGTTCACTGTAAGCCTGATGCCCTTTCTCCAGTTTTGAAACACCATGTGGAGTGGGTGTTAACTAGTCCAGTCCAGATGTGAGCTAGTCCAACTAGTCCAGCTGAGCTCATCTTGCTCAGCCTCTCATCTACGCATTGCCAAGCCCAGCAGCATGGTTTCCCCACACCGTTTCATCATTTGTCTTTCTTGGTCCCACACCTGATGCTGTAGGACCTTCCTATCTACCTGAGCACCACTTGCATTTTGGCTGCATTTTCCCCCAGATTCTACTGCAGGGTGAAGAGGTGATCTTTCCTTGGAGCACTAGAGGAACTAGGGGGTCTCCCAGCCTTTCTGGAGGACAAGTAAATCCTGTCATAGTCTATACTGGGCAAAATTCTTGAACCAGCGATGCAATCCCCGTGCGTAACAGTTACAGTAGATCTTAGATCTTGCTATCTACAGGTCTGTGGCTCCTAAGAGACCACTGAGGAAAAACTGTGATTGGTCAGGATGCATACAGTTTAAGGCTTTCCTGTGGATGTTTGACTAATTTTCCCACAGTGACGCCCAACTTCACTAAGGATTGCTCAATACATCTCAAGTTTTCACATCATCACTTAAATCAAGCACCATAACTTTTATTTTGCTTTTTGAGTGCCCTTAGCTTTCTTGGGAGGCAGATCTCTTTTTCTTAAATTACAGGCAGAGAAACCCTCATCAGATTACACAATGAGTCAAACACAACTAACAATAACATGGTACTGTGTGCTTCTCTGAATCAACTGCACTTCATAATGGGCACAAAATTTCACATTTTTGTTTCTGAAATTTCTTTTAGTGTCTAACATTTATTTTCTACCCTGCATAGTCAAAACTGTGTATATTGAATCTGTGAATAAGACAGATCTACTGAAGTTTCTAGCAGGAACACAATTATGTCCAGATCCTATCTTTAAGGGTGTCTATTATAGCATTATTAACAATAACAAAAATTAGGAATAACCTAAGATTATCCAACATGGGGGGTTGTTTGGAAGAATTATAGTATTATAGTATTCTTTCACTCATGGACTGCTATGCTACCATTTAAAGTAATGGCTAGGGCTGGGCAAAATGGTGCATG